CCGAAGGGAAGTGGCGATAATATTTTGTCTTGCGTTTCTGTGTTTTTATCTAGATTGTTAGCAGAATATCTCATAAAGGAGTGGGCAGCTTTTATTGAAACTCTCAGAAAGTTGAGACAGTTTGATAAAGATCTACAACTGATTGACATTTGGTGTTAAATCAATTCAAGATGGCCTCCACAGCTAATTGACATAAGCCAACACAAAATTTGTAAAACTCAAACATTGCACACTTTTTATTAAATGAGTGACAGGTAGTTAATTATGTAAACTTGTTTTTAGACATATTTACAGGATCAGTTTTTTTATATATAAAACGACAGTTTTACATCAAATTATTGTGATCATGGCAGAAAGTAATGACTGTTAAAGAAAGGCACTGTTAGCTGCCAAGATACCAAAAACTGTCAGAAGAATAAAACTTAGCAAGCTTTTGATCCTCAAAGTTTTTCAGGCGAACCAAGGTAAAAAAAAAAGAAAAAAAAAAAGTGTTTACTAAGAAAGTTAATCCCTTTTGCCAGAGTGAAGGGTGTGTCCTGTCTTTCAGGTATTTGTTCCAACCGCACCTTTCTGTTGGAAACCATTTGGGACGGCAGGCAAGGCCAGAAACTGGATCAGACACAAAAAAAAGCTATAGATAAAAGCCTTACAGGTGAACCTTTCTCTTTTATGTCCCAGTGTTTGCTCCCTTCAGATGGGAGTGTGGGATGAGAGTCACTTTTAATTCTCTCAGAGCTGATCAAATGTTAATGTTTACCTGGAGAACGTTGCTCTTCATTATTCCACCTGAACTCCCCGGGAACAGAAAAGCATCTGCTTTTTGTCTAAATGTGTAAAAGTTTTGCAGCTGATGTTCTGACAAAGATGTGACGTGTTTTGACCAGAATAGGAAGTTACATTTATATTTTTACTTTGCCGGGATGAGAATATTGATGATCAATAGAGAAGTGTGCAGAAAGAAGCTTTGAGGAGTTGTCCTGTAGCTAAAGACGAGGTGTTTCACCTCCTGGGTCGTCACTTGGCAACTGAACGTTTGGTTTCAAAACAGCTTTTAGTTTCTGAAAATAATATGTAGCCAGAAGGCAAATCTGTGTGTGTAGTTGTTAAAATATTTAATAACCGAGTGGATTCTAATGAAATTTCAGGAAATGTTCAATAAATGTGTATCTATTTCTATAAATGTATAAATCTATAACTGATTAACATTTGGCACAAACCCATTTCATGGTGAACTCCGTGGCCAGCAGACATGTTTTCTTCACTCGCTCTGGTACGAGGCGGACGCATTCTCATCCCTCTCCTGTCCTCCTGCTTTTTTGCTCTACTTCTGTGTATCGGAGCTCCTATTTTACACATCTTCTGAAACAAACACTACTGTTATGGTTCTGACAAACTGGACTTTCGACGCAATCGACAAAATCTTTTCAACAAAGCGACAGGGTCCTGGAGAACCCTCATGTTCCGCTGAGAATCTCAGGAGGACACTGAAGACGTATACAATCGGATTTATGATAACAGGTTTCCTGCTTTTTGGAATCGGCTGGTTCCTGGTTTATCAACATGCTAAGAAGACAGCTGCAGCTAATTTGGACCTCATCAGGTGGCCTGCTTGTAAAGGTTTGGTTCATGCTTTGAGGACTCAAAATCAGCTGATTTACGAGCTAAACCATTAGATGGAAGTGATTTGAATCGCAGGCCACCTCTAGCTTTAGGACTCGCCAACATGCTGGAAACGACCTTGGAGGGGCTTGTAAGCACGGACCAGTAGAATGCGCCCTAATCTGCCCATTTCGGATCTTGAAAGTACTAGTAAAGACTTGAGGCTGACAAGAAAAATAGTCTGCCTGAAAAGAAATCAACAATTGTGGCTTATCTGAATCTGACTCCCCCGGTTGGCCTAGAAAACAGCTCGACAACAAATCAAATTATCCTGGGAAATGTGTAAATTAAGGAAAAGCTTAATCTATTGCCCCCCCCCCCCCCCCCAAACTTCTGTGGAGGCTTATCAGAACTGTGCCAGCTGACCATCATCAGGGGCGGCTGTGGCTGAGTGGTTAGAGCAGTCGTCCTCCATTGAAAGAGTTGGGGGTTCAAATCCACCAGCAGTCACATGCCGAACTGTCCATGGGCAAGACACTAAACCCCTCATCGCCTCCGATGTGTGTCCCATTGGTGTTTGAATGTGATCTAAAGCTCTGATTAGTCTCTTTAGAAAGATTTGTTCAATTAGCTTTGTAGAGATCTAGTAGAGTGCTGTGTGAATGGGTAAATGAGGCACAGATTGGAGTGTAAAGTGCTTTGAGTATCTGGATAAGATAGAAAGTTGCTATATAAGTACAGTCCATTGACCATTTACCATTTATCATCTTATCAGGACTATCAATGGACTATCTGGAAGTGCTTCATGGACCACCTCGTCGTCAAATCCATATGTAACATGTTCGTAAATGTGCTGCTGGCAGAGTTTTTTTTTTTATGTCTTAAATCGTGTCCTGTTAGGACAAGGTGTGAAGAGATCTTTTTTGTAATGCCATTATCCTCTCCTCATGACTTTGTCCCTTTTTCTATCTAAAAAAAATGTATTCTGAAAAGGATAAGAGGCCGCGCTATCATAGCAACAGCTACGTGCACTCGGCCCATCTTTCGGACGACTGTGTGGACATATTCTCGTTGTTTCTCGGTGCAATGATAATAAAGTTTATTCTTATTCTGATTAGAAAACACAGAAATGGCTATAACTGTTAGTTTTACCCCTCATTAAGCTAAGGTTTGGTGGGGTTGTAGCTGAGTCGTTCACAAATAAGATCCTTGCTTTAAACTTTAAAACAAACATTTATAGAAGCTATGACAGAAAAAAAATGGAGGACAGATTGAACAACATATCCTACGGCTAGTTCATACTATCATCATATTTATCATATTTAAGGCATTGACATATTTTAGCACATTTTTATGCTGGGTTTTTTTGTGACCATCGATTTGGTTTAATATTCAACCTGACACTTTTGCATAATTTGGTAATGTCTGAGCGTTATCTGCAGCTTGAAATACCACTGATTTTTTGTGTAATATCACTATTGTTTTTAGCATACTTTTATTATTTATTTATATTTTTTGCTTGTGTTTATGCTTGCACTGTGAGAGGACTTGCTTTTAATCTCATTGGAGATGGTTATAGTGACAATAAAAGGCATTCATTCATTCATTCAATACTGTGAACATTTTGATTAACCTTCATTTTTCTTTTTTAAGCTCTTATTTTTGTGAAAAAACATTTGGCATTTGTATGTTTAAAATATAAATGCAAGTTTATGTGTTTAATCATTTCCTGTTAAAAGTTTGAACATGAACCTGCAGCAGTTATTGAACAAGATTATGTCCGTTTCTACAACCAGCTGTCTGCTCTCCTTGAAAGTGCTTTTTAAAGTCCGAGAAAAATCTATGAAAGAGTTGAGCAGCTGGGATTCTGCTCATCTACATGTCTTTAAGAAGATGCTAACCTAAAATTGCTCACGTGATATTTTTATCGTAAATGATTCAAGGGGTGTTGGTTGAGTAGGACTCCATGACTAACTTTTTAAAACCTCTTGATGATCTGAGGGAAAAACCTGCCTGTTTGTCCTCAGTAAGACATAAATTCAACCCTGATCATTTGTCACATGCACGCAAGTATGTCTTTTTGTCACCACTTGGCCTGTCGCGATAAATAATAAATCAGTTAATCGCATGATAAATGAAAATTATTGACCTCATTTTCATTTATCTGCTTTATCATTTCTTCGTGTCTCTCTCTTTCTACTGAAGACACTAGACGACAAAAAGCTCCACTCCGGTGCTCTTCACTGACCCCTCCCTTTCTTTTTTCTCTTTAAAATCTGTTTTGACTGTCCAAAATCACGTTTTTGGATTGTTAAAAGTAGCTAATCTGAGAAGCTAAGTTACGAGCTAAACTAACAGGCCGACCACGGGAAAAACCTCCGTCTTGTTGAAGCTCCAAAATTCACGGCTGAAACCTGTGCCTTTGTGTAAAAAGTTGTTTTTCTCTGCAAAAAGAAGCTGATAACTTGTTTACTGATTTTTTTATTAAAAGCTTTGTGTGAAAAATGCTATGCTAAAGAGCTCAAACCAAACCGAGCGTCCGCCATTTTGAGAACCGAAGAGAGACAGCCCATGTCACGTCAAGTGGCCTCCCTCCCATTTTTCTTAATGAGACACTCGCTCCCTCCCTGTCCATCCTTCGGTTCAAACATCTTATACTGCCATCTGGTGGTCGATAAAAGGTACTACACTCAAAACAAATTAACCAACATTTCTTCTTAAATTTGACAATAATTCAATATTATCGTTTATCGCAATAATTTCTGAGACAGTTAATGGCCCAGTAAAATTTGTTATCGTGACAGGCCTAATCACCACCATGGTGGTGCCACCTTTTTCCATCCATCTCTTTCTCACTTCCTGTTTCCACAAAGTCATACTTTTAAACAGCGAACATGCTTTCTAAGAAGCCCACTCTTCTTGAACTGTAACTGTAAAAGCCGACATACTGCAGAATATATTTGTTTGCTACATCTTTATCTGTCTAACTGTACTTTTTATGAAACAAATCTCAGGATGAATACCAAAATCGAATCATGACACTGCTGAGGCTATTCTTAAGAACTCATAAAAATCTGATGGAGGTTCTTTTTTTTTTTTTTTAAAAGCTGAATCATTTGAATAGAACTATTTCCGATTGTTTCCATGTGAGTTCTTTCTGCTTCTTCCTCCTTTACTGCAGACCAACCTGACCACCAGCCTGTTTTTCACTTTTTAGTCTGTCTCATTCCTCCCATTCCCCACTCGTCCCTCCCTCCCTGTGTAACCTCCTCCTCTCCATCTCCATCCAAGCGGCTCTCTGAGCAGCGTACTCATTTCGAGTCACTTCCCATCATCCCTCGCCTCTCCTATGCGGAGCTCATGCCACGCTCCTCGGTTGACGTATCTCTCTGCTTCAACAGGACAAGAGTGAACTCCCTGTCTGAGTGAGTGATCCGTCTGTCTTCAGGATGACTCGAGGAAGGTAAGAAACCATCTTGACAGCTGACACACAGTCACAGTTATTCAAACTCTCTCCACAATGCTTTTACATTCCTTCACAAGAATCTGTGCTTCAGCACTAACTGAAAGCAGATGGTGAAAGTTTCCTGCGGGCCTTGTTACGGCACTTCTGGGCTTGATTATGGTGTGAAGTCAATTCGCTGCAAAGCAGTTGAGCTGTGATTTATTGGGAGATGCATTTAGAAGCAAGATCTAGAAGCTGTAATTTGGCGTTGAGCGCTGCAGCTGCTGCGTGTCTTACAGTTGATCCCCTGTTGTGACGGTCGTTAGTGCTCCATGGAGTGTGAGCCCTCAACGAACGCACTCTATCATGCTTTGTTTTACTGGGAAAAATTGAGCAGCAGATCCACTGAAGGTTTGACTCTTGTTCAGATAGAAGTACTACCGCTAAATGCTGTACACCACCATGACAGATGTTCCAGCAGATACACATGTTGTAAACGTCATCTAAAATCATTACTGTCAAGATTAAGTACTATAAAGTTATTGATCTTATGATTCCTTAACTGGTACAGATTTTTAGTTTAATTGAGGTTCACACTGGTTCATTTTCATCTATAAATCCCTCCTTGGACCTTCTTATATCTCCTCTCACATGTCAAGTCGTTAGTGCAGCTACAGTGTGCACTCTCAGGACATCATTACCTGCAGCGTTCCCTCACTGCGGACTGAACTTGCCAAAAATGCCTTTTCCTACTCAGCTCCTGCAACCTGGAACACCTTGCAACAAGAACTGAATTTGTCCACCTTAATTTCTTTAAGGGGTTTCAAACATTTGATAACGTCAATGGAAAGTTAAAGCAAATATGTTCTTGTTTTTAGTATTTCACCCTGTTTTGTACACTACTCTGATTTGTACTGTATTTTTTTTTTACTGTAGTTTGCTGTCATTGTGTACTGTTAACGTTGTCTGTACTTTGTATGTTCTGTCTGGAACAGGTCCATCTTGTAATTGAGTACCCGTGGCTCAATGTGGCTAGCCTGTATAAATAAAGGTTGAATGAAAAAAGGTACCGGTATAATTTATAGGGGTGCACCGATGAATCAGCCCTGATTTCCTTAATTTTGGGAGATTGGCAATCAGCCGTTACTTACATGAGAAACCGATTTTACCGATTTTTTTTGTCATTTTAACAACAATTGTCTAAACTTCATTTATATTTCAGAGCACTACCTCATAATAATAATAATAATAATGTCATCACAATGTCAGCACTGTATGTTTCCATACAATGGCGAAATTAGTCTCTGCATTTAACCCATCCACCACCAGGTGGTGCAGTGGGCAGCTATTGAAAGCGCCCGGGGGGCATTTTGGGGATGAGACGTGCTGCCCAGAGACGCCACGTGATGTGCAGTGACTGGGGATCAAACCTGGGACTTTTGGGTCCCAAGCCGGCTGCCCTGCCTCTACACCATCTCGGCCCCCATGGCAAGTTAAAACAAGTTTGTATTGTTTCTAGGATATTGTTCAAGGGTATATTTTTCAATGCAATTAGATTGGAAAATTGAAGGTGCGTTGTGACCTTATAACACCTGACAGCATCACTTATTAAACAAAATTGGTACCGGCCAATATCGGAATCGGCAGGTCAGACTTTTTAGAAATCAGTGATAAGCCAGAAAACTGCAATCGGTGCACCCCTATTAATTTTAACTTTTGTGTGCTTCAGTACAACACCTGGATCAAATTCAATCACCCAACCAAACAAAACTAGATTTTCCAATTATGTGTGAATAGAATAAAAAAAAAAACTGAATAAGTGTTTAAATTTATATTATATGTATACAATTATAGCATTTTTAATACTAACATAAAACAAATGACTTCAATACTTTGGCTCTTTACACAAACTTTGCACGCAGCTCGTTGTCTTGCTGATTAGTAGATTTTAGCAACTGGGGGGGGCTATATCTTGAATGTGCCATAAATAAATAGAGTGACATATTTGGAGCCACTTTCTAGTCAAACGAGGTCATTTAAGTTCTTTGGAAAATGTAAAAATATTTAAAATTAGTTGACTTTGAATCTCATTATTTAAAGTTAAACACAAGTACACAAAGTACATGATTGCATTGAAGTGTAGAGTTTGAGGATTCATCTCCCCTAGTCTCACTCCGGCAAAGGTTTTGGATTTAAAGTAATAAAAACTTAAATAAAACACATCTTGTGTTAACATGAACAAGATTTTATGATCTTAATGGGATTTGCCTGGTTAAATAAAAGGATAATAAATAAATAAATTTGTGTAATTGCTGCTGAGAATATGCGTTTGAAATGACAAATGGTTTCTTAATATTCAAGTAAAAACTTGAAATTTTTCTGTTTGCTCAATATGTGGACCTACAATAGTCTGGTCAAAGCAGTGGTTTCAGTTAGAAAGTGAACTGTAAATACATAAGAAAAGGAAGTTATGTTACGTTTTGGGATGAGGATGTGATGCTAGTTCTGAATCTAACTAGTTATCACATTTTGTTAATAACTTCCATTTCCCTGTTCTCCTGACTAATTCTGAGAACTCTTGGATGAATTGTGCAAATTTAACGTGATTAAATGTTATATTTGAGTGTCACAAAGTTAGATGTGCTCAACTGTTAATTCTTAAAAAAATAAACAGTAGTATTTGTTATCTTAAGCCTGTTTTTGACTGAACTCTAAAAATGAAATTAATACCTTTACTAGGTGTCACTGTTTGATAATAAAGTCTGCTTCGTTCAGATGTTCACATCTTCAGTCTTTAGCAAATATTCATAATATTAACAGTAAGACAATGAAGAGTAGGGAAACCACACAGGACTTACCTGACTTTTTTCTCATTGACATGCATGAAATGTCTTTACATTCTTGAAAAACTTTGTGCTCTTTGAAATTTACTTCAGCGTACTTGCTTCCGTTTTAGTTTTTAGGTGCTATTTTGCTCATTTTTAGTATGGAGCAAATTTTTTGCTAGTTTTAGCTTTTAGCTATAGTTTTTTCTTTATTCAAGGATTCATGGTTCTTTATTTGTCATACGCACCTCATGTGGTACATGTGGTAGAACGAAACTGTGTACACAGGGTCCCAGTTACATCCAACAAAAGTATAAAATGTAAAAGAAAAACAGTAATAAGATCTAAGATATGAACTAAGAAAAACATTAAGTAAAAATACACTAAGCACTAATAGCGTAAAAAAACAATACGCTGAACAGCAGCACGAACATGAGTCTGTGTGAGCAGTTGAGTATGAATGAACACAGCAACATGAAACAGATCAGCAGCATGATGGGATTATTTAGATAGTCATTAGTCTAACAGCCTCAGGGTAGAAGCTGTTCCTCAGTCTAGTGGTTCTACACTTAATGCTCCTCAACCTCCTTCCTTAGGGGAGCGAGGCAAAAAGTGTGTGTGCTGGATGAGTGGGGTCTTTCATGATGCAGGTGGCCCTCTTCCTGCATCTGGAGGTGTAGATGTCTGTGATGGTGGGGAGGCTGACTCCAACAGTCTTCTGTGCAGCCTTCACCACTCTCTGCAAAGCTTTTCTTTCTGCAGCTGTGCAGCCTCCATGCCACACGTTGATGCTGGAGCATTTTCCATTCAGTTTAGTTTAAATTCAGTTTATTTATATATAGCGCCAAGTCACAACAGAAGTCATTTCAGGGTACAGAATAGAAACATTTATATATAAAAATAATAATTTAACATTATTTATCTGAGGAGCAGACTGCTTTGAATTCACTCCATCACAGACTCATCTTGTGCAAGCATGAAGGCGACAGTGGAAAGGAAAAACTCTCTCATGAGGAAAAAACCTTTGGCAAAACCAGGCTGAGGACAAGCGGCCATCTACTTCAACCAGTTGGGTTTGGTAGGAACAGATACACAATGGCAGGTCAAGAATCACATGTTAAGAAAGAAATAATATCAAATGAAAACTATTCAATTTTAACAATTTGTTTAAGGAAATTATGTCAATTTGTCCTCCAGTAGTCTAAGCCTATAGCAGCATAACAAGCCAACCCTATTTATAGGATTTATCAAAAAGAAAAGTGATTTATCAAAAAGGAAAGTCTTAATCCCAGTCTTAAAACTGGAAAATGTGTCAGCCTCACGGACAGAAACTGGAAGTTGGTTCCACAAGAGAGGAGCCTGATAACTGAAAGATCTTCCTCCCATTCTGCTTTTGAAAACTCTAGGAACCGTGAGTAAACCTGCAGTCTGAGAGCAAAGTGCTCTGTTAGGAAAATATGGAACAATAAGATCTGTAATATAAGATGGAGCTAGGTTGTTGAGAGATTTGTAGGTTAGAAGTAAGATTTTGAATTCAATTTTGGATTTGACTGGGAGTCAGTGGAGAGAAGCTAAAACTGGAGAGATATGATCTCTCCCACTAACTCCAGTTAAGACTCTGGCAGCAGCATTTTGGATCAACTGAAGACATTTTAAAGAAGTTTTTGGACACCCAGATAATAAACCATTGCAATAGTCCAGTTTAGATGTGACAAATGCATGGACCAGTTTTTCTGCATCATTTTTAGATAAGATGTTTCTAATTTTAGTGATATTACGCAGGTGGAAGAAGGCAGTTCTAGTAATGTTTTTAATGTGCAGGATAAAAGACATGTCCTGATCAAAAATAACACCAAGATTTTCAACATTAGAGCTGGAGGACAGATTAATGTCATCCAAGGAGGACAAAGGACTGAAAAAGTTATTCCTAAGATGCTCAGGTCCAAAAACTAAAACCTCAGTCTTGTCTGTGTTCAACAGGAGAAAATTAAGGGTCATCCAGGTTTTTATGTCTTTAAGACATGCTTGTAGTCTAAGTAGCTGATTGGATTCCTTGGGTTTCATGCACAAATATAACTGTGTATCATCAGCATGAAAATGAATATCTGTCCCATGCAGTTTAATAACATTACCTAATGGAAGCATCTATAAGGTAAAGAGTATTGGTCCAAGCACTGAATCTTGAGGAACTTCATGACTAACTTTGGTGTATGATGAAGATTCATTATGTACATTTACAAATTGGAATCTATCAGATAGATATGATTTAAACCATTTTAGAGCCGTTCCTGTAATCACAATATCATATTCAAGTCTCTGCAGTAGAATTTTATGATCAACTGTATCAAATGCAGCACTGAGGTCTAACAGGACCAGACACCTGTCCATTGTCTGAGGCCATGAGAATATCATTAGTAACTTTCACCAGTGCCGATTCAGTGCTGTGGTGAGCTCTAAACCCTGACTGAAACTCTTCAATCTCATTATTTCTTTGCAGATGATCATGTAACTGACCAGCTAGTATTTTCTTTAGAATTTTTGAGATGAAAGTTAGATCAGATATAGGTCTATAATTTGCCTGGATTCCTGAGTCAAGGTTATGTTTCTTAAGTAAATGTTTAATTACAAGAATCTTAAGGCTCTGTGGTATGCAACCATTTATTAGAGATATATTAAGCAGATCCCAGAGGTGCTTATTAATTAAGGGAATTGCCTCTTTAAGCATTTAGATACTGTTTTGCTAATTTTGGCTAGTTTTAGCTTCAAAAAAATTGAGCAGTTATTCTTCTCTAGCTTTAATTTTATTAGCATAAATAATGATCATGAATGCAGTTTTCATCCCCATTCTGTTGAAAAGCAAAGTTCTGTTTTTAGACCGAACCCTGGTTCTCAGATCAGGTCTAAAACCTCCTCAGTCAGCAGGCGGTTATTGTCTCGTTATGTTTCGATTGTTGAAGAACTGATTTTCAACCAACATTGTCTCAAACTGTCACAATAGCAGTCGAAAGCATTTACAGTCCACAAACATTTACTGTCAATAAGCACATAGGGGAGTGAATGTCGTTACCTGCAGTCCTGAATTGCAGGTTTGTTTCTGAAAGCAGAATAATTTTTTAGCTCATATGTTCCTAAAACATTAGTTTTTTTTCTTCTGTTTTTCCAGAATCAGTCTTTCTAGTAACGTCCTCTCCAAGGGGAACAACAAATCTGTTCATTTATTGGAAATAAGGGTGTCTTACGAGTTTTCGGTGCCAATGTGGACATTGAATGTTTTCTACAAATCTGCCCTTCAGTCTTTTTTCATCTACAATAACACCCAGCACATCCTTCATGAGCTCTGCAGACTTTTCTTTCCCTAAAAGTTTAGTAAACACAATGTATAGACCTGACATTTTCCCCTCAGCTTGCTGTTTATCTTCCGAAGTGAGAAATAGTTTGTGTAATGAGTGTGATGTCAGAGGGCCGGCAGGAATCTTCTGTGGGCGTGTCAGGTATTGCATAAAACAATTTGACGCCTCGGTGTGAAGACCAGAGAGCAGCAGGCAGATTTAAAGTCGAGCAAAACGTTTCTTTCTCGAGTCATTTCACTATGCTTGTTGTTTTTCTCCTTCCTGCATGCCTGTCATAGCTGCTGTCCAGCCATGCAGAGGCTGAGAGGGAGGCCAGTCTGAATAAGGACGATTGTCTGATGATGATGTCATCATTGTGTTTTCTTCTTTCATTCCCCAGGTTCTTTACGATTACCTCTCTTCCCGTGGTTGTGGTTGCACCCAATAAGCAGTCAGGACCTTCGCATTCATATGACGTGATTTAAGCCACATGTCCTGTTTACCATAATGGCCTCGATGGTTGCCAATGGAAACCGAGACGGGCAGTCTCTGGTCCTGAAGGGGGTGGACCCAGAGACCTGCATGATCGTCTTCAAAAACCACTGGGCTCAGGTAAACACCAGCAACAAACACACATCTGAAGAGGCACAAAGTGACATCTTCGGATGTTCCACTCATTTTCTTTCCCGCTGAGTTTTGCACACATAAATGACTGAATCAAATGCAGGAATGGCAAAATGGGAATGGCTTATATCAGTTTGAGTTAAAGCCTAAAAATCCATTAAGTTCATGTTGTGCACTGCAGTGTGGTGTGAGATTCAGTTGAATCTTGGCAGGGTGAAGCAGTTTGTCTCAGAGTTCTGGTTCTCCACAGCAGCATGTATCCCCGTTCACCCCTGTTGGACATGGAGGTCTGATAATCCTACATCTCTTACACTGAGCTGGAAAACCTGGTCACACTCTGACATAAGTGTGATACTGGCTGCACACTGAGGAGATGGGGAGGTGTTCCTTTAGCCTGGCATTATTGGTTGTGGGCTCCGGTCTGAATCTTTGTCTGGCTAAGTTAAAGACAATTTCTCTGTGACTTTATTAATATATACATGTAACAAGTTTACAAAGAATTAGCTAGCTGTGAAGTTTGATAAATAACTGTGTTTTTTATGTATCTGTTGTGAAAATTGTGATCTACTTGGACATCTAATTCATGCTGATGGACAAAGTTTGACATTTATGAAGGGTTCAATTTATTTGTTGAAATCTTTGAATATCCTGATGCATCCAACAATTTTCAGTCAGGTCATCTGGACAGTTTTTTTTTTTTCTGAAACATTTCACCTTCTTTCCGGAAGGCTTCATCAGTCAAGAAAACACAACACACAAAACTGATTCTCCCCCCAACAGCTTACTCCAAAGTGGAACAAACCAGTTATGTTGGTGCTAAGATGGTGTCTTTGGCACGCCCCCATCTCTTGTGCCTCATCGACAGTCATGTTAAACTGGTTCAAAACCAAAAAAAGTCCAGAGGAGGCGTACCAAAGACACCATCTTAGCACCAACATAACTGGTTTGTTCCACTTTGGAGTAAGCTGTTTGGGGGAAGAATCAGTTTTGTGTTGTTTGTTTCCTTGACTGATGAAGCCTTCCGGATGGAAGGTGAAATGTTTCAGCAAAAAAAAAAAAAAAGAAACTGTCTAGATGACCTGACTGAAAATTGTTGGATTGTATACCTAGATTATTGAGCATGGACTTTTTATTTTATATATTTTTTATCCTGATGCATGCTCAATAATCCAGGTAGATAAATCTAGCAAGGTTGAGTCAGTTCCTTTGGACAGATTCTTCTTGTTGAAACGTTTTATTTTTTATCCAAAAGTCTTCTTCAGTCTGAGGAGCTGCAACAAATCCAGTCTTATTCAATTCAGTTCAAATTCAATTCAAAAATACTTTATTAATCCCAAAGGGAAATTATTTGTTGTTGTAACTCATTATCCTCATTTCATTAAGAGATGTTATAGATACTGATGGCTGTAGGCAGGAAGGATCTCTTGTAAAGGTCCATCCCACAGTGGATCCTAAGAAACTGGCTGCAGATGCCGTCCGATCCATCCACCCAGACTTGGCTGGCCTCTCAGTTCCCCTGGGCTGTAGGACCGCCCGAATGCCGGGCAGAACTCCTCCCAGAGCGATGGCCACTCCTCCCAGCAGTCTGCCAAGCTCCTCATCGCTGCAGACAGCCAACTGTAGGGGCCGAGGGATGATCCTGTCCTTCCGCTGTCATGAGCCATGTTTCCTGCTAGTTCCAGGATCTCAGTGCTCAGGCACTCGAGCACAGCTGGCAGGTAGATGAGAATGCGTCCACAGAACATCCTTTCAACTCATTTGAGATTTGGGGCTGTAGTTGAGATATTATTTGAGCTTTTGAGATGTTAATCAGCTGCTCCTGGTTGTAGAAAACTGCCTTGTTGCCATGGTTACGCATCATAACAAATGTCCAAAACTAAAAAAGTTTCAGTAAAAATCCTTCCTGCTGCACAACATCTGATACCAGAGGAAATAATCATCCAAAAAAATGTGATTTACATCCAGAAAAAGAGGAATTAAAGTTTCCAAAAGCAAAATCTCAGAATGAAAGTAACAGAGCTGCTCCAACATGCAGCCACCTTGAGCGGCGCATTCAATTATAAGCAGCACTTTCTCACAGTGGATCAACCATTTTGCTGGTGACAGCCAGAACTAGTTGTTCACATGTAAAAGGAGGACAAGTGGCCATCAGGCCATTAACAAAGGGCTAAGTGATGCAATCGTAAGAGGGTACAAATAGCAGAGATAGAATCCTGTGGCCACTGAACTGGACTCCCTCCGCCCCCTGGCTGCACCCAGAAATTCTGTCCATGAAAGTTATGAAAAGAATCTGTGACAACAGGCAGCCCTGGCAGAGTCCAACTTCCACCCTGAAAGAGTCTGACTTTCTGCCGGCTATGCAAACCAAAACTCTTAACGCTGCTTGTATAGGGACTGAATGGCCCGTAGCAACAGGCCCCTACTCCCATACTTTTGGGGCAGCTGTGACTGAGTGGTTAGAGCAGTCATCTTCCAATGCAAGAGTTGGGGGTTCGATTCCACCAGCATTTACGTGCTGAAGTGTCCCTGGGCAAGACACTGAACCCCTCATTGCCTCTGATGTGTGTCCCATTGGTGTAAGAATGTGATAAAGCACTGATTATTCTTTGTAGAGATCTAATAGAGTGCTGTATGAATGGGTAAACAAGGGCACAAATTGTAGTGTAAAGAGCTTTGAGTGTCTTCATAAGATAGAAAGGTGCTATATAAGTACAGTCCATTACCATTTACCATACTTGCGGAGCACTCCCCTCAGTGTACCTTGAGGAACACGGTCAAATACCTTCTCTCAAGTTCACAAAACGCCTGTAAACTGGATGGGCACACTCCCATGACTCTAGTGAGGGTAAAGAGCTGGTCCAGTGTTCCACAGCCAAGAAGAACCTGCATTGTTCCTCCTGAAACTGAGGTTTGACCATCAATCGGAAATCTTGAACACAAAAAACTGATCATTAAAAAAGTAAAAGTACAGTTCCACAAATAAACTGCTTTGATAAGTTATTTTTGAAACGTTGATAAAATATACGGGGATGATTTTTAACTAATACTCTGTCCTTTTTATAACATACAATATGTACATAGTCTTTATTATTCAGAGGAATGTCTCCTTTTGTTCTTTTCTTACACCTCTGTTGTCTCGTAACCAAAATAATCTGTTTTGCTTGTGACAGTACAACCCCCACAACAGCACAAATGCACAACATATGCCTCATATATTAACCGGTTGGATTTGTATTGTGCCTTCACATTTGGATAAACATAGTAATCATAATAAATACAGGAGGTTTGTTAGTCCCACCTCCTGACAGTACAACCCCACTCCTTCAGCCCCATCTGCTGCCTGATAAGTGCTCTTTACTGTAGTTTTGGCTAAAAGTAATTGAATTAAACAAATCAGAGTAGCAATTTTTGATGAATTATTTATGTTAGGAAGAAGCTCTGCTTGTTTCCATATTGACTGATTAGATTTGTGTTTATTTGCTGAGTCTTATCTGCAGCTGTCCCAACCTCACACAGCTCCATGTGTTTGCCCTGACGTTCTCCAGAAACCTGTATTGTTTGTTACCTGATTCATCCTAGACGTGGTCACCATCTATGTCCTCCTAGTAAATCATTAAATTATATAAATGCATTAGTTCAGTAGCACTGAAACACTTGTGTACATTGTTTCCTAACTTTACATTTAAATGAAAAGTGTTGAACTCAACTTTTTAGATTGTGAACTATCCTAAGTTTAAATTTAAGCTGCAGGCATGATTTTGTGGTTAGATAGTTTTGATAAATTCTTAAAATGCATTTGATAAGCCTTATATCATGAAGGGCTGACTCTTCTACTGAACTTCATTACTCCAGTGCTGCACATTTAGGGTGCATTCACACTAGCCCTGTTTAGTCCGCTTTAATCAAACTCTAGCTCGTTTTCCTAGAAAGTCCGGCTCGTTTAGGGAGGTGTGAACACCCCATCGAACTCTGTCACGGAAAAAAAAGGCGAACTCTGGCCCGGGCTAAAACCTAGGTCTCGGTAAAAGAGAACTCCAGCGCGGTTCAAGTACAGTGTGAATGTAAACAGACCGAGCCCCGCTCCACAGGGTAAACAAACACACATTTCTCTGACCTTATATGGAGCCTTCAGCTGCCTTGTGTTAAAAACAATATTCTCCATGGTCTTCTGTCTCATCTTCTGCTCATGCTAAGTCCATTTTTGAAAAATGACAAAATATAACTCCTAAAACTGCTAAAACTTGATGCCACTTCGTTTTTATTTTTATTTACAGAAGAAGAAGAAGACGTGTCTTCAGAGGTTTTTGTGTCGTTTCTTTCAGTAGTTCTTGGTGCAGCGCCCCCACAGGCAAGCAGGGGAATAGGTTGGTTCAACAGGTTGACTCGACTGCACAGTGCAGTGTGAATGCAAACGCACCAGCTCAAATGTAAACAAAAGCTCATGAATATTGGTCCCGAACCGAACCGAGTCTACCGGACTATCAGGTGTGAAAACGACCTTAGAAAATGGAAACCAGCAATTTGACTTTGCCGTCATGATATCAGTCTCCCAGACCACATACCATATTTTTCGGACTATAAGGCGCACTTAAAATCCTTTAATTTTCTCAAAAATTGACAGCCTTATAATCCATTGTGCTTTATGTATTAATTCTGGTTGTGCTTACTGACCTCAAACAAATTTTATGTGGTTATTGTGAATGAGTTGAATAAAGTTTGACTTATCTGACTGTTTTGTTTCACTTAATGCGGCTTATAATCCGGTGTGCCTTATATATGAAAACAGACCCGTTCATTGGTATTGCGCCTTGTAATCTGAAAAATACGGTACTGTTATGCCAACAACCTTTTCTGTAAAACTTGTCAGGTGACTTGTAATGAAAATTGTGACCTATGTAGTGATGACAAAGCCAAACCCATTTCTCAGTAACATTTGTTTTTCTAGCTACTTCTGTTTCTTTCTTAGAAGTAATTCAGATATACCCGAT